TCTTGGGCGCTGGGATGGGCTCCTCGTCTACATCCTCTAGATCGATCTCGCCGTCGTTCACGACCGTCGGAACAGGGTTGTCGGTATCAGGCGCCATATTCGGAGCTTCTGCGTGGTTCCATACAGCTGGAAACTTAGCATGCATATGGGCGCTGAACCAGTGGGGTGGTCGCAAGTGCTCGAGGACGTCCTTCGCGGCAACGCTGCCGAGAGTGCCGTCCTTGGCTTCTTGTTCAAAGTCTGGCTTCCAGCTAAAGAGTTGTCGGTAATTGCCTTTCCACTCCATACCACGCGGCCAGTCATGGCTTAGACCGATATCCACCTGTGTGCGTATCTGAAGCAGTTTCCGCACGTCAATTTCCCGAACGTGGTAAATGCTCCTAACGTCATCACTGTTGTAGGGCAAGCGCTCGTAGTGCGGCTTCTTGTAGTTGTAGCCTTTCCAAATACCAGACAACCCAGCAATGCGCAATGTTCCTAACCGTATTACGTTGGCGGCACCCATGTAATATATCTTCGGGGCGGCCCAGCCGCCGTAGTATAGCTCCCACATGTAGTTGCTCGCTTCGTGGTTGCCGCCAATAAATATAGTGAGGTACGGGGCTGTGCGCAAGCCTGAATAGTATTCGTGAAAGTCGTGCATCGCATAGTACTTGGAAGGCATCGATACTGCCTTGAGATCGGACGCATTTCGAACAGCCTACGAAGTCAGTCGCTGGGTGGACATTGTAATCGGTTTGCATACCTGAAAGTCGCCGCCGATGATCAAGAGATCAACATCTGGCCAACCTTTCAATTCACACGCTTTTGCCACAGATGCATAGATTTCGTGTAGCACTCCGTGACCGCAACCTTCTACTGCTATACGCAGGTTCTGCTGTTCTATTAACTCTGGGGCGGCCATACTCAATGAGGTTCGTAACCTGGTAGTTAGTAAGAATGAGCGTTATCAGCAACGCGACTACAGAGATGCTGGTGAAATCTTCGTTGCGCAGTGCATAGGCGCAGAAGTCGCAATATACTCGCAGAGTATTTGCTGCAGTGGAGGCTGTTGTCGAAGAAAGTACGATCGAGGGACCTGCAGCACTAGCGTCGGAGGTCGGAGTTGCGATAAACTAGCGAGCACGTGGAGATACTGGACCTGCAGGAAGCTTTCCAAGACCTGCACAGAGATCATTTAGGTCCTCTCAACACATGGCTTCAGCAGACCAAACTCAACTGAGGGCGAAGTTCCTCCAAGAAGCTGCTTATATCCTCGCAGTTCCATCGCCAACGACGGCAGCGTTTCTGGGCAATGCACGCAACAAGCTAATTGAAGATGCTGAGGTCGACATATCGAGCAAAGAATCGGATGCCTATCGTCGAAGTGTTTGCGGCGCATGTGGGAATGTAATGATTCCAGGATGGTCATGCAAGGTCTCGAACAAAGGAAACCAGAGAAGTATTGGCAACAAGTCATCGGAGTCTGAAAAGAGTATCTGCTATACCTGCTTGCGGTGTCAGCGAGAGACACATCAATCGCTTCCACGAGAGCGAAGACGTCGCAAATTGACCGAGAGATCACAGCCGCCAGTGGACACGGTTCCAATCTCGAAGGCAACGACTACTACCAACAAAGAGGAGAATGTCGCTGCAAAGACTATAAACGCGAGCAGCAAGCAAAGACAAAAGGCACGAAGGGGCGGCTTGCAAGCTATGCTTGACAAGAAGAAGACACAGGACTCGGGCGCGGGCGGGCTCGATTTCATGGACTTTGCGCTATAAGGTCCGTAGGGCTGACTGAAAGCGCACCTGCATGGAAGGGTCTAGCGACACCCCGCTATGCAAGCGCGGGGCTCAAAAATTTCCAGACGTTATGTCATCACAACTTGCGAAAGTTAATCCAGTTACACGCACGATTCCTCTATTCAACACCACCTACAACGTCAATAATCGATTGCAAATATGGCACAGCAACAGAGTCTCGCGAAGGACCTCTTCGAGGATATGGGTCGCAAGGTCGCAGAGGCGAGCGCCCAACAAGGAGACGACGACACAAAGGTCGTCGATGAGATTGAGAGCATGTGTATGAACTGTCATGAAGATGTAGGCGCGTTCGCAAGATAATGGTCGACTCAGCTGACACTCTCAAGGGTACTACGCGCCTTCTCCTCACTAGAATCCCATTTTTCCGCGAGATCGTTCTCATGTCCTTCTCATGCCCGCATTGCCACTTCAAGAACTCCGAGGTTCAGCCTGCTGGCGAGATCCAGCAACGGGGCATCAAGTTCACCCTCAAAGTCGAATCAGCCGACGATCTGAGCCGTCAGATCATCAAGAGCGATACGGCGATATTCCGCGTAGAAGACATCGACCTAGAGATACCACCTGGTCGAGGACAACTGACGAATGTGGAGGGCATTCTCGCGATGGTAGCGCAAGATCTAGAGCAGAAGCAGGAAGAGAGGAAGCAGGTGGTACCAGAGGTCTATGAGCAGTTGCAGGGAGTCATCAACACAATCAAGCAGATGGCAAGCGGAGAGAAACTACCATTCAAGGTCACCATCGACGACCCCGCCGGCAACTCCTCGATCGAGCCTCCTAGCGTACTTGGTGCAGGTAAATACTCTCGCAACGAATACCCACGAACTGCTGCACAGAACGAAGCGCTCGGTCTCGGCGATACCAGCGGCGAGGCCCCTGCCACGGAGATTCGAGAAGAGTACAAGGCTTCACAGATGTACCCGGAGATGCCTTCCGCCCATGCTCCCATGGTGAACAATGTAGATGAGGACGACATCGTAGAGAACCAGGTCTATTCGTTCCCTGCCAGCTGCCCGGGATGCACCAAGTCGTGTACTACGAACATGAAGATGGTCAATATTCCCCATTTTAAGCAGGTAGTCCTGATGAGCACAGTGTGCGACCACTGCGGATGTAAGTTGAACTGATCAAACAATTAGGGTTCATCAGCTAACGTAATGCAGACCGAAGCAACGAAGTCAAGACAGGAGGGGAAGTTCCTGAACTGGGCCGCCGGATCACAGTCACTGTAGACAGCAAGGAGGATCTGTCACGAGACATTCTCAAAGCCGAGTCGTGCGCTATGTCGTGCCTCGAGCTCAACCTCAGTGTCGAACCTGGTACTCTTGGTGGCAGGTTCACCACTATCGAAGGTCTCCTGACCCAAGTACGTGATGACTTGAGATCCTCAATCTTCGACGCTGGCGACGGGGGAGACTCGATGGACTCAGAATCCAAGCAGAAGTGGAACACCTTCTTCCACAACCTCTCTGCCGCCATCAACGGTGAAGACAAGTTCACTCTTGTTCTTGAGGACCCTCTTGCCAGCAGCTATGTCCAGAGCTTTACGGCGCCGGAGCCCGATCCTAAGATCAAGGTTGAGGACTACAAGCGAACAGAGGCTGAGGAGGAGGAATTAGGATTGTTGGATATGAAGACGGAGGGTTATGAGGAGGAGCATGCGGCGAGTTTGTCGAACGGGACAACGACCAACGGCGCGTAGGGTGGACAACTTGGACCTCTCTTAGATTTTCTTGACTCCTCTTGCATTAGGTCGGCGCTTCGTAGATACCACGGCCTCGCCAGCCATGATCAGTATGATATGATCTCACAGCCTACTCTTTCCTGCTACCGATGCTTCGTGATGCCTACAGTGACCTGATATCTGTTGGTCCGACATTGGCACTGTGATGGTACCCGTTGCTCAGACATTGATTTGCGGTTTCTTTTTCTTAAAATGCCGCGACATCCTTCAGGCTCCAATCACACGTTACGCTCTCAGCTTAGATGATGTCGCGTTGCAGCCACTGTCTGCCTAATCACACCTTGTTCATCCTGCAAGCGGGTTTGCATGGATTGTGACGCTCTTGATCTCCATCTTCTCGAGCGGTCTTGACTTCTTGTCTACCTGAACGCTCTCCATGTCATCCAGCACCTCCCACCCTTCTAGCACTTTTCCAAAGACGGTGTTCTTCCCGTCCAAATGCGGTGCTGGCGCGAAGGTGATGAAGAACTGTGAGCCGTTTGAATTTGCGCCCTTGTTCGCCATGCTCACGATTCCCCTCGCATTGTGTCTCAGCGCAGGCCGAATCTCGTCCTCGAACAGCTGGTTTGGCGTATCATAGATGGAGGTGGAGGTCTTGGACTTTGGGTCGGAGGCGGGGGCACCGGTCTGAACCATGAAGGACGGGATCAGGCGGTGGAAAGGCGAGGAGTTGTAGAAGGCGGATGCGCAGAGGGCGAGGAAGTTCTCAGCCGTCTTGGGGACGGCTTCGCAGAAGACTTCGAGTTTGATGTCGCCCTTGGTGGTATGTAGCTGTGTGCAATTAGCAGCGCGTCCGAGATGGCACAGAGTTGGGACGCACCGTGACGGACATGGTCGCGGGTGCCGATCGGTCGTGTTTGTGGTTTGGGAGGAGCGATGATGGCGCACGAATCGGACCCTCGAAGTCGAGAAGCTCCTCTACCTCCACCCTCGCCGCGCCTAGAACATCGCGCGGCTATCCGACTGCGTTTATTGCATGCAATCACCCTGCATTCGCTGTCATCATCATTGCTATAGCCAGCATCGCGCTCCGCCCCCTGGGCTCTCCACGCTGGTAGACGTTGGACATCATAAGCGCCAGCCGCATAAGCTCCACTCGGGCAGCCCTACGACTCTCGGGACATAATCCACCACAGTATCCCCGCCGCGCATTCACTCCAAACACGACCGTATCCATATCGCATCCCTAACCCACGGGCCCGCCGCGCATCCACCGGCGTCGCTGCCACCCAGAGCCCCGCTGGTTCAAGATACGAGGCGCCTACATCATTCCACCCCCACAATTCGCTGCCCGGAAGGCTACCTAGCTCCAAGCACGGCGTAGTTGGCCGGCGCACCAGCACATTAAAGCCTCAAACGCGCGACTTGGACGGGCCAAGCACATCCTGAAAGGCCATACCCACGCCCATGCAGCGCTCGCTGCCCTCCCAGGCCTGCGCTGCGAGAAACGAACATGTCGGCCTTTGTTCGCGTCTCAGGACCGCCAAACAGTAACTTTCTGGTTGGCTATCCAGGCATATCAGCAACACTCGTACGTGTCTCTACTCTCCTTCTGTTCTCATTGGACCTCTTGCGCTCCAAGTAGCTCGCCTGGAGTCGCTGTATGACCAACTTTCCTTCAGCAAGGGTACTGGCCTGATGCTGACACACACCATAGCCTCGCATAGAAGGCAAGGTCGAGATCCGGCCACTCATTGGAGTCTCAGCGCCCGTCAATGTCTCCCTCGTCACCATCGCACTACACCGGCGCGAAACAATACACCCGTCTGCCGACTCGGTCACGAAGAAGCACCTGGCAGCCCCGCGCAAGGAGATTACCGACATTGTTGGCAAGGAAATGCTCCTATATCGATGTTCACCTGGAAGAGAACACGAGAGCATACTATGCATGGACCTCCCGTTCGTCATCTTCATACCCTATGGGCGTGGTGGAGAGGAAGTAGCGAGGAGGGTACCGCCCGCCAGTCTACAACTACCTAGTCGGACAGCTGAGACATTCTACGAACTCGTCGTGACAGTGCAACAAGGGCCTCAAGAACAGAAAAAGTATCCTTTCGCAGTACCCATACAACGATACGACACCCTCTCAACATTTGGCATGTACAACCGACCAGAGAGCGCCGAACGAGTAACGGACCACCTGGTCACTCTTGGGATCAGCCTGCCGAGATGGAGCTACGGGCCAATGGATCCAGTCTCGGTATACATCAAACTGAGCCCTAATCCCGACTGGCTGAGCAAGGCAAAGAAGGTTACGATACAAAAAATTACTGTTGGGATTGACGAGGAGATCATCTTCAATCACGAGGGAGACGAACCGACTCGCAAGGTCAAAACGTTGGCAAAAACACAGCAGCAGGTCGGAGTGAAGATGCCTGAAGCTGGATATTTCACCAACCTCGGACTGGTCTTTCCCGCAAAAGATTTACGAGACAACGCAGGTATCATACCTAGAGGGCAGAAAGAATTCCCCATGTATGCTGTCACTGGATTCACGACAACTGGTACTCTATACAAAATAGAGTATTACCTCACAGTCAAGGTAGGCTGCACTTGAAACCAGATGTTGTGAGTTTTGCTGACTGGGAGTAGGCACAAATGTCGTCAGCGAGGGATATTCTTCTCCGTCAGCCCATCGTCGTTTGTCCGTTTGACCATGCTGGCTGCAAAGAGGAGATGGAGGCCATTGAGCAGGCAGCCAAGGATGCCGCACACGTCACACCCGACAACCCCATGTTACCCGCCAGTACTATTATTCGATCCAATGACCCAGAAGGCTTGCGCGCACTCGGAATTGCAATCGTGGGAGGCGTACGGAAACCGCTCATTGAGTGAAGTCTCAGTCACGCAGAAGAGTTGAAAATTTCGACTGATGGAAATTTGCCATGTGGAGAACAGTTGTGTTGGACGATCTGCATGTTCTATCTCGGCTGAAGGAAGAATAAGACGGACTTGAACAACAGAATACAATTGGACTGAGGCTGCCAATGATCAGCTAGACGACAAGGACTGCGTATTCGCGATACTTTCCACACAAAGCCCTGGATCGCACAACAATGCGGAACTATGCACAACACAGGCGCAAAATCGATCATGCAACCAGCGAGGCCCGGAGTCATATCGAGGCTGCCATCTGCAACACGCATTGAATCTGTTTGAACACAAAAGGCGCAAGGTCATTATACCCAGTGAGCTTGTGCATTGTATAAGGGGAGCATTTTCTTGGCTTTTACTGGCGTTACACGGAGGGGACGATGGGACGGCCGCTTGTTGTTCAGTTCATGATACCTTCGAGTCGTTCATTCCCATTATAATCATAGTCTAAAGGAAGGTAAAGGGAGAACGCCTCGGCGGGTACCGAGAAGATTTGTCTTTTTGCGAATGGCTGTATGCATGGGAGAAGGAAAGCGAAGAGAGTAAGGAGAGTCAAGAGCCACAGCCGTAGTAGGCGGGTTGCAACAGCTACAACAAGGACTTTGGAAATGCCACTACCATATCACTTCAACTTGATTATCTCTTCCAGAAACACTTTCGTGACAACCATCCTCATTCCTCACCATCAGGCCACTGGTCCACCAAACCCTCCGTGTCACCTTCTCCCCCTACCCTCCCAACCAAAGCCGCAAGATTCATCCTAACGCTATACCTCAAATATTTTGTTTCGTACCTTTTCGCATAACCTCCACCCAACCCTCCAATATCACTCTCCCCATTGTTTGGATGATGATGCGCAAATATTGGTGGCTGAACCGTTACACACACCCTATCGTCTCCACTCACACCTATGCCCCCACCCTCCATAGTAGTATGAGAGTTCTGGGCCTGCCGGCCCATGTCAGGATCGTTGCCAGCACACCACCGGCCTAATTCGCTGTCGAAAATGCCGTTCCACCCACTTACGCCAAATTGATGGAGGAGGCGTCGGGCGCCGCGTTGGGAGACAGCGTAGCTGACTGTACATAGAGTCCCGCCCGTTGCTCGGTGATAGATTCGTGTGTGGGGTGGGAATGTGGTACCTAAGGCGTCGGGGCCACCTTGGAAGGGGTGAGCTTTTAGGTGTTGTGCAGAGGGGACCGTGGAATCGTTGGGTTGGGTCAAGATGGTCGTAGTGGTACTGTGGCGATGGTTGATGGGGATGTGTGGGCTGGGTGCTGGACGTGGCATGCCGGTACCGCAGTGGCCGAGCCAGAGTATGTCCCATTGTGTTGGGTCGCCGTAGGGTGAGATGTGGGGAGTGCTGCTGTAGGAGGGTATGGAAGATAAAGGGAGGGAGGTTAGTGTCTTTGGGAGGTTTGAAGTGTCGATGATCTTGAAGGCTGTGTCTTCTGTCTCTGTGTTTGTATGCGTTTCGAGTTTGTCCTTCACAGTAGAGATTCCATGGTTCCCTGATAAAAAGCGTGATGCGAGTGCGAACCGTTGTAGGTTTTGACGAATTCGAATGTCCCAGTCTACATCGTCTTCGAAAATCAGTGCGGTGGTAAGATTATGGTCGACTATTCTTCAGGTTGTTAGCTTACTATCATCTCGTAATAAAGTTGAGAGACCATGTACCTTTGTAGAGCATTCATATGTGTTCTCCAACTTCCTCGAATGCCTGCAGAATGCTTCCTGTTCTCTTCTGGTGGAGGGTATGCTTTTTCATTGATGCTCCCGCCCGTGACGCCTTCCACGAACTCGAGTTTGATGTTTGAGGTGGCTGCTGAAAGGCTCATCGCATCGCGACGGTCGGTACGGAATGGAAGGTTGAGGACCAAGATGCCTTCGAACTTAGGCTGTGTTAGCGAACGGTAGTGTTGGTTGGGGCTCTCCCATACCCCTAACGTAGTGTTTAAAATGTCCCTCAGGCTCTCATCTTGTACGTAGGCAAATGAATCTGCCGGTATCAAGACTCCAGGCGTCCTCATGTTGAACCATAACCACAAGGCACCGAAGAAAACACATGTCGTCAGCAATCTAGGCGCCGAGCTCCAAGCAGTCCTTCTCTTTGCAACCTCAAATCTCGCGCTGCTCTTCGAAGACATTGGTCTCAAGGTATCGATGAAAATGCGTCGCATACATAGGGGTAGCGTCGCAGGAGCGGTACTGCGAAGATATGAAGGAAAGCATGATCAGCTAGTAAGATGCAGCGACATAGTATGGTCAGAGGTAGATCGAAATACTATATTCATGTTGCTCACTTTCCAGGTTTGAGGCCTTCCCTACGACCATTCGATGCGCGGCTTGCCTGGCTAAATCAATCTGCCGAGCAGACGCACCCCGCGTACTATATGTTCCTATGCTGGGTGAGCAACCGTATCGCGTCAGCTGATGTAGCCAGGCGTGAACATGTGTTTCTGTTGCATTCAAGAATGGCATGCGCGAGCACGTGAACAGCAACAGAGGTTCGCATGCAGAGGAAGTGGATACCTAGTGTGGCAACTCGCCGCGGAGGTTTGTCATCGGAATCTTTTAGAAATGCGAGCCTATCGATAGGCCGGCGCGTTGCGTGACTGCTTTCTCCGCGACATCGGGGCGAGGGATTTGGACTTTCCAAGTAGTACTGCGCTCTTCTTTCTTTCTTCATTGAATCGTTAACTCTGCCTGCAAAGTAAGGTGTTTATTGTCTTCGCGTACATTCTTCAAGTCGCATCGCGATAGCGCCTGTCGCCCCTCCCCCACTAGAACACGGCGCAACATGAGCGCCATTCTTTCGGCAGACGACCTCAACGATTTTATTTCGCCGGGTGTCGCGTGTATAAAGCCTATAGAGACGCTTCCAGTGCAACAAACAGATAACTCGGTGTGTTTGATTCACGTGTTGCGTCATAGGCCGGCGCATTCTGACAAAGGTCATAGGATCCATACGAAGTCACGACCGAAGAGAAAGCCGCTGCAGCAGAACCGCCGCCGCCCGCTTCAATATCGCTCACGGACTGTCTCGCGTGCTCAGGCTGTGTAACGAGTGCAGAGGCAGTACTGGTTTCGCTACAATCGCATACCGAGGTCCTCACAACGCTCGATACCTACCCGTCGTTACGCACACCGTGGCTGGCACATAATGGCACAAACGGGGCAACAAATGGACATACCAGTAATGGAGTGGCGAACGGTATAAATGGAAACAACGCCCAAGGAAAACTGTTCGTCGCCAGCATCTCACCGCAGACTCGCGCGAGTCTGGCGGCCGTCTTCAATATTTCTGAGGTAGAAGCCGGAAATATGATTGCGCAGCTCCTCAGTGGACCCTCAGGCTTGAAGTCTGGTGGCCACCAGGGAAGTGGCTTCACATGGGTCATCGACACCAATGCCATGCGCGAAGCCTGCCTCGTAGCGGCGGCGGACGAGGTTACAAACGCTCTATCTCCCGAAGCACTCAAGGCATCTCCAAAGCCTGGCTCTGAGGGCGCAATAGATACTACACCGAAAGCACCCATTCTTACGTCGGCCTGCCCTGGCTGGATATGCTACGCCGAGAAGACACACCCATATGTCCTTCCACATCTCTCGCGTCTCAAGTCGCCGCAAGCCCTTACCGGCACATTAATCAAGTCAGTACTCAGCGAACGGTACAATGTGCCACCGTCTCAGATATGGCATCTCGCAATCATGCCATGTTTCGACAAGAAACTCGAGGCTAGCCGTAGCGAGCTCACCTCCGCTGCCTGGTTACCTAGTTATGATCAATCTCAGGACAAGATAAGAGACACCGATTGTGTGATCACAGCCCGTGAGCTACTACACCTTGCAGCTGCTCGTGGTATCAACTTTGCTTCTCTTCCACGAACACCGCTCTCCTCTGCCGATCGAACACCCTTCCCAGACCCAAAGATCGACGCTTTCCTATTCCCTCTTTCGCGCCGGAAGAACCAGAGCGTAGCTGCTGGGCCCTCCGGTGGATATCTACATCACATACTACAAACATACCAAGCTCAGAATCCCGGATCCTCGATATCAGTCGCAAGAGGGCGGAATGCCGATGTGGTAGAGTACTCGGTCGTCCGTGGCTCAGAAACAATAATCAAAGCAGCACGATTCTACGGTTTCAGAAATATCCAGAACTTAGTACGGCGACTCAAACCAGCGAAAGCCAGTAGGTTACCAGGCGGCAAAACAGGTGTAAGCAGAAGGCCAGGTGGTGCCACAACCGCAGGAGAGGGCGTCAGAGATTATGCTTACGTGGAGGTCATGGCTTGTCCAGGAGGATGTACAAATGGTGGTGGACAAGTCAAGGTTCAGGAAGTTGAAGAAGTACGCATCTACGAAGGGGTTCAAGAGGCGAATGAAGACGCACCCGCACCGAAGCCAGGACCGAAGGAGCAGAAAGAGTGGCTCGCAAGGGTAGACGAGGCCTACTTCTCAGGCAGCGATTCGGACGACGAGGCAAATGCGCGAACGAACGGTCACAGTCCCGAGCATGATGTCGTTGATGGTATATCGAGATCACGTATGAAGGATCTCATGGCACATTGGGCCAGCATTACGGGCGTCGATCAACAGAAGCTGATATACACATCGTATATCAAAGTAGAAAGCGATGTTGGCAAAAAGAAACAAAGCGATATGGAGCGTGTTGCCGGATTGGCCGTGACCGCTGGCGGCGGATGGTAAAGCTTTGTTTACGAAAGAACGAACATATTAGACACGGGCATGAGCATTGGGTGGCGTTCTTTCTACAATTATAGAACCGGAGCTGGCCGTACAATAATGCATTCGCATCGGTTATGGGTTTCTTTGAAAATCAAATATATCTCATCATTGATCAAGTTTGTCGGATTTAGTATGTTGCGAGACACCTGAAGCCGCTTTTTCTATATTTCATGTGGAGGTATGATTTGCATTCTCATTGTAACCTCAGCGCATTCTTTTGCTTTTCTTTTGCAGCCGGTAATATCCCCCTTTTATGCTACCAACCTCTGCGCTCGAAGAAGTAGAAGAAGCAACACTATCGCCTGTTCACAGCCGGAACCGACGTCATTCCACGTCTTTTCCGCTGTGGCTGCACATACAGGTGTGTATACGCAACGGGCCGGCCCTGATCCCCTGATCCCCTGATGCCCTAACCCCCCTACTGTACCACGCGCACTTCCTTCTCTCCACGACCACCACTCACACAGGCTAGACGAGAGAGCGCAAGATACACAATACCAATGTCACTACACACGGACTTGGTCTGCACTTGAGCTGGCGATCATGCCGTGGAGTTCGGCTGCCCAACGCTGACGAGGATATCGCTGTATACTCAGATACCGTCCTTTCATCTATATGTCCAGGAAGATGCTGTCCAAGCCAAGTGAAGATAACGTAAGGAAGGCCGGTACGGTATATTGACGATCTTGAGTAGGACCGATGGTGATCTCGGAGAATCAGGGTCTGTGGTACATAGGGGATATGCTTGAAGCCCAAAGCCCAAGCGAAGACGTGGCTAGTGTTGAGTCATCGTGAACGCAAGAAGGGTTCATGGCTGTGGCGATAACGCGGGTGATGCGTTGTCTGGTCAAGGTGACGCAAGATTATTGCGTGTCCTGTGGCGAAAGCACGTACTTGTTGCGGTCAAAGCAGATAGATATACAGGGTCTGGCATGGATGCCGAGGATAGAACAGTGTATAGTTATTGCAGTCTGATGCCGCAATAGGCGCAGGCAGGCGAGCAGCGTTCATTGATGATGATGGAGTAGCTAACTAATGTTACATATGAGATACGCGTTCGGTCCAGCCAGAACCGAGGCTTTGCAGTATGAAAACAGAATCCAGGTGGTATCAAACTCCTTCCCATGAGCCATACGCGAAAGACGCGAGGCAAGAAACATACAATGACTAGCCATCCTGGGCTATATGTCTTATTACATATTACAACGGTTGGTATGTGGGGGCTGAGAAAAAATCAAGATAGAGTACGCAAGGAGAGTGCAGGTAAAAATGGTACGCAAGGAGAGTTGAAACAGGGCCAGTTGATCGCTCAAAAACTATTCTACCCACCTCCCATGTACCAAGTTTTATCCCAAGAAAACAAGGTTACCTCCCTCAATCACCCCTTCCCTTTTAACCAACAAGGATATATGTAAATAATACTGGTGATGGTATGATGTAGTCGCCAAATGCTCAAACTGGGGGTATCCGCCGACGAGATGAAGCACATAAAGGAAACTCGGTCTAGTATAGTACGGGATAGCGCCAGCAAGACGCGCCAAAAAAAACTGAAACAGAAGCAAGGTGTACACAGGGTGTCTCTAAACATGGACAATCCCTGTAGTAGACCCGAGTAACTTGCTGACAAGGTATCGACAATTTCCCGCGAAATGAACAGACGATAATCTCTTGTCGATCCGCCACGAGTATGATGTAAGATGCCACCCGAGATGTTGACTCAGTAAAAGGAAATATGTGGTGGTGGTACAGAGCGAATGTGGAGCTGATATTGAGAGAGAGAGAGAGAGAAAAAGGACAACGTTAACGTTGTGAAATGGTAAAACGATGGTGGTTGCGCAAAAGGACGATGAGGTGTGTTATAACGCCAGTAACACCATCCCAGAGGGTGCGCTTTGCTTTTGAGGGCTTTGCAGCGCATAGCGTCTGTGTCTATCTTTCTGTAATCGTGCACCGTTCCAGACGGGAGAGCTCAATGTCGTACGGTCGTATAGGAAGCGACAATGAGCGGGTGCGGTGACCCAAATTACAATTATATGGATGGAAGAGCATGCAGCGAAGGCAAGGCGAAAAGAAGTATGGGTCCCGCGATGTTGGATATCATCGGTGTCGGGTTTGAGCTGCCATAAGGCTGGCGGCCACACTTGAAGCCCAGTCTGAACCGTCATCGGGCGGCGTTGGCCACTTGGAAACAGATTGCTCGTTCTTGCTCTGATGTTGGGAAATGTCCATAGGCTTGCTGGGTGTCATATAGTCAGATTGTCCGAACCCCACACTGTTA